ACGCGTAGTGCCTTGAGGTACGCCTTCGAACGTCCACGGTCTCGGAGCGGCTCCTTATCGCGCCGAGGACTTTTGGTACGAAAATGCGGTATGGAATAGGGCCACGCGTAGCGCCCTGAGGTGCGCCGGGGAATTTACGGGGGATCTCGATTCTCCAAAGGACGAGCGTGACAGGACAAGGGGGCTTCTCTAATTTACGACAAATTTTGAGCACACGATATCCACCGGTTGCCGGATGAATGCGTCTAATTTTAATGATAGAGCCAGTTTCGACCTTAGTAAATCATAACGCCGCCACGCCTAACTTTCCAAATCACAATACGACAATTAATGATCTATTGTGGCCTCAGCAGCGAGTTCCACAGGTCTAACCTCCATCCACGAAACAATTCTCGATCAATTAACTAATTCGAGCCGTGTCGTTTGATACCAAAAATGGGATAATGCGACAATTTTTACGTCGTATTATGTGGGACTGCGATGATAAATACAATAATTTAATGCCACAATACAAGAGTCGATACGGTGGGCGTATCATTAAAATAGTCTAGTAGCTGGTGTATAGCATTACAGTGTGGGCAACGACATTAGGAATAGAAAACACGTTTTTATTGATGTACTTGCGATATAAGGCCAATTGAAGGCATCCAGGAAACGCATTTTCTGTGTCGGTTTTTTTTAGTACCGCGGTACTGAGTTAAGTTTGTGACGGTTTCAACATTGCCAGCGTTGGCCTTTTGACGTTTCCAAGTCGATGAAACTCGTCCTCTAGAGACCAAAAAGTAGAAGCCAACGAATACCAATCCACTCTTGAAAAATTCAAAGTGTAGACATTAACCAGCTCGTAAAAGCGTTTAACTCACGTTTATAGCAGTGTCCAGTTGAAATTTTACGATGGTGAATTTTATATCAAACAAGAGCTTGAATAATTCACTTCGAATTGGAATTATGAGTACTTTGCATTTTAATTGATTCCGATAAATATCTAAGGAAGTTAATTACCGTCGCAATAATTGATGGTTCCGCCAGTGTCAGACGAATTATCACACGAGCAGAAAAAATCTTTGAAGGTACGTATGTCAGATGCGAAGGAGTGAAGACAGCGGTCAGTGCCGGGGGCCTCGAACTCGCCGACAAAGATAATATGTAGAGCACATATATTAACATATATTATGCGCCCCGGGGCCCCCCGATCCCGTGTTTCTATTGTGCAGTTGTGTAAGGCCCACAATCGCCGGCCCATAAACAAACAGAACGAGTGGTGCCGAGGGCCTTCCGTCCAACCATACATACACGCAGAAAAATTTTACCCTACATACGATATCACACACTTGACAAGCAGCCTTACATACTTCAGGCATAAGAGTGCATTCTTCCTGAAGTCTTTAGTTGACGTGGTAAACGACACGCCTTTCAGGCACATTCAACAGGGTAGCGGTAACACTTCAAAAAATTTAGATTTTTTGCAAAAAAGATCTCGAGGCTTGTTGAATGAAAAACATTTAAAGCCTCGTCTGGTTCCTACGAAACGGAACATTGTCCACAACCATAACAGGAAGGCGACGCAAACATAGTTGAACTTGTTCGACAAGTTTCAGTTTTCATCAGTAGTGAAAAAATGCACTTGGGCGCACTTAAAATTTACAACGCATTAATTATGTTCGAATCAAAATAAAACTTTCCGTACTGCTATGTAGATTTCAGTGGTACCTACTAGTGCAATTTTTGTTTGAAATATCGCAGTGTTTCTAAAACAAGTCGATTTTCTCGGTGTACGCGTTAAGGAATAGCCTGTCTTCCTCCTGAAATGTCAAATACGTCATACGCAATCTTATTTTGTTGTCTGGCGAGTTTAACTGTACAGCGTACCGGGAGCGTCCGGAATTATGGCACTGTGAAGAGTGTTTCTTTGGTCGATTTTTGATTTATGCAAGCGTGAAAGAGACAGGCGATACATCAAATATGCAAAATGCAAAAGAAACTCCGAAAAGTTAAAACAATGGCACCGGTCCAGGTGTTTGGGACCGGATCGCTCCGGGCGCAAAATGATTAATAATAATCCTACTGTATGGTATCTCAGTGATCTCATACCAACGTGCACACGTTTACTGTACGTATATAAACTAGAGATATAATACAATGCACCAAAGATCGTTACAGGACCACGAATTAATCAATCCGGTCTCTCGAATAGCGGAAGTTGATAATTAAACGTAAGAAGCGTATTTATTATTTTAATAGGAGATTTATGGGCCATAAACCTTATTAATAATGCGATATTGCTGATTAGGTGAAGACACAAATCATTGGATGCCCACGAGGCGAATATAATTGACACATTGACTGCAGTGGATCATTTTTTACTGAGCAACTATGTAATTTTCAGATGCGGACGTCGAAGTATTAAAAAAATTCGTGCACCGCTTTTTATCATTTTGAGTCTGTCAAGGTGGAACGGCGAATGATGTAACGGTTTGGTTCTTAATAATAATGGCCAAGTAGTACCTCGTTAATAAAATTAATACAAATAGTTTAAAACTCGAAAATAGATTTAATAATTTAACTACGGGATAATTGAACGGGAAAAGCCCGCCAGCGCTTGTTACTTTTTTCGGATTCAGTTTAACGCGGACTAGAAATAAGTACTTGGCGCGATGAAAGCACCTAAAAAGTGTGCTCGGGTAAAAGTAAAGGGAAAACTTACGGTTTTTCACGGTAGGAGCCCCACACTGTTCCAAAAATGTGGTTTCTAATAGAAAATGAAATTAAAAGTACTTTCAATTTTTTTGCGTATTTTTATGGTGTGGAAAATACAACATTTCGGATTTTTCTACGTAACAGCAATAACTATTTGATAAAAGATTTAGTACCTCATAAAATAATTATTTAAGCGAGAGTATTGACACCAAAAACATTAAATAAAGCAATAAAAAATGAAATACAGTTTCCTTGAAATACTGCAAACCCACAAGCATTTTTGAATTTATATTTTATAGTTAAACGAATTTTATATTTTGAAGAAAAAGTTTTTATTGGTTAATAAATAACTTTTCGCACATAGCGTAGATCACTGAAGCATTCTAAGTAACTTTAGTAAGTTAAAATTTTGCTGATACCATCGCAATAGGTGTAAAATGTGTAAAAATGCGTATCAGATAAATTAACGAGGCACCACATCACTTGTATTTACTTATAAATTTTATTTAGGCTATTTGAAACCAAGAGTTATAACATTCAAAGGTTCACTATACTTTACACGAAATGTTGTTTTAGTTTAACATTTATGGTTAACTAACCTACTATACTCCGTTTACCGAACAGATGGAGTTGTAGATAAAAGTGCGTGATCTTCACGTGATAACGACTGTTATTTGATATTGCGTGTAATTCAATCTTTTTAAAGAATCCTCTTTGTCTTGTTTTGTTTTGTCATTATTAAATATTTTATATTAACAATATGTTTAGAATAATATTCTCTAATGGATCCAAAAAACATATTTTCAAACATCACGTGAAGCGCACGTGATCACTCTATCTGTTGGATAAACAGACTATTAGTGAATTCTGTATAACTGACAAGATTTGTTTTACCCAGATATAAATAATCTCACAATCAGATTACTTCGAGTCTTTCAAAATTTCACGACGGCTTTTCAAAAATTCTAAATTTGGGGACCCTGAACCTTACAATAAGTCAATTTCAAAAACGTAAGATTTCGCACGTTGATAGTATAGAAGAACTAATTAAGGACCAATTTGGATGGCATCACCACGAGACGCGAATTGGACTCATCTCCTGTCGGATTAACTCCCAATTTTTAATTGGACTCGCCATTCCTCTAAGTCCCTCTATAACCTCCTCCCCGTGTCCACCACAATAACAATTACAGTTTACCATTTTATTCATCCGGGGCAAATTGAATTGTGTTTGTGCTCTCGTCTCGTCTCCATGACGTATTGTATGTTATTTTTCTATGCATTTCTTTGAGGCATTGTGGCCTGTTATCTAAATCAGCGATGTTTATCGTCATATTTCAGACACAATGGTTCACGCCGGGCAGTAGCATGGTTCTTATCAGCAGCGACATCGCGACTTACTCTCCTCGAAATACGTTTTTAAAATTAACTCGGAATAAGAGAGAAGAAGAGCGAAGGAGAGCGATTTCAATGGGCTCCTTCATAGGCTAATGAGTTCTGGACGATTACGGCCGTACACTCATCCCATTTGTTAGGCGAGTTAGTGACACTGAATAAATGCCTTTCTGCAGTAACCGAAATCGCTTCCCAGAACCGAGGCGTGTACGCATTTATATACATGCATCAATTTTTCATTTAACTTTTAATTTAGATTCGACTGCACTCTTTATTTGCCGCGATTAATCCACTTACTAATCGAGATTCGGATCTGGAGGAGTATAACTCAAAAAATGATGCACTATTGAAAAAAGATTACGAAAACAGGGGTGAACTTAAAAGCCTAATCGAGAACAATTTCGTTCCGAGTTGGCTTCGATCAACAATGAACGTTCTCAGAGAGACAAAAAAATGCCCAAGTCGGGTTTCATAATTTCGCGGTCTGTTTCGGTTGCATCACTGTCTGAAGCCGGCCCTGAGAAGTATGATTCACAATAGTCACAAATAGGAACTACTTGTGCAAATTACGAACAAAAGAAAATCAGTTGCCATCATTTGCATAAATTATACACTTTGTATTGTTAGATGCAATACAAATCGGTACTAAAACACAATGTAATACAATTGAAGCTGCTGATTATTCCCAAAATAGAAAAAATAACACATTAATATGTAAATTTCTGCGACATGACTTTATTCTATGCCATATTTCGTTACTGACGACGCACGCAGCATTTCCGAAACACAGTTACCACTATATGTTTAATACGGATTCAATGGAAAAGACGAGTAATTTTGAAACTATTAACTACCTCGTATAAGTTTTGATGGTAGAGATAATAATTAATTGCTGATTATGAACTTACCAGTCTTCTTTTTGGTTTGATGAGTGGCCTGTTTTGTCCATTCATCTTATAATAAAGTCCACACGCATTGCAGAGGTAGTGTCCGGTGCCGTCGCGTCGCCACAGCGGCGTGCTCGTCGCACCACAATTGACGCACTCCCTACCCTCTAAGGACAAAATTAAAAAAACATATGTTAGACAATATGTTACACGTTTTAGTTGAACGACAATAAACTCCCCTTAAGCTTATAGACATGCTCAAGCCAATCCATCATTCGATAGGAGGACGATTATTATTAAATGATCACAGAACTGTATACGGTGAATGAAAATCAATATTTGTGTCACTACGTTTGTTTATTTTTCAGTTTTGGCTTTTAAATGGGTCCCGAGGTAATTACATGCTTGTTGACGTGTATGTTTAATATTACTTCGTATATCAATTTTACTAAGAGTCTCGCAATTTGCTGTTGCCAAAATAAAATGAAAAATGATGAGATGTCACAATATAGAGGTATTGCGCTTATTAAACTAAAAGTACGATTAAAACTAAGAGTAATAGTTTGATAATAGTTAAGAGCACTTCAAATTTTTACTGTAATGATCAAAGTACTTAATTTCAATTTTCTCAAGTGAGAACTCATACTTCACTAAGTTTTTTAAATTTCTGGTAGTATTCTTGTTCATGTTTTCGATTAAAATTCTTTTCAAATATACCTACTGCAAATGATTTATGTTATCAGTATTAAATTTGTTTTTTTAACTTACAAATTTAACACCAGTATCACTTTCCAATCTAAGATTTCATCATTATTGACAAACTAAATAAGTATGTGATATCTTAATACAAAAATATCAATATTTGTCTAAATGAAATTTTACAACAATATTTTTCTCGTTATTAAGTGCCTGATAATATCAAGGCAATATATACATTAAATGCTTTCTAAAAATTAAAAAAATTCAAAAATAACACCAAAAGATTGTCACTATATATATATTTTTAATAAGGCTTGTAAACTTTAGTTTATACTCCGGAAATACGAACTTTTCATAACTAGTTTGTAAACTGCCAAATTTTAATAACCTTTCCAGTTTATAAAATCTCACCCTGAACTTACTTTGTAATTTTTAAAATTTTGTCTGCATGCAAGAATATGCCTGTGAGAAAATTGTGATCAAAATGTACATATAGATTAATTTTGACAATTTTTTATATATCGAGACAGGAACATATAAATACGATTGAAGACAATCCTGGATTTTTGAAGATTTGTTTTTGATAAAATTTTTGTCTTGCCAGATTACCATGAATTTGAAAACAAGAGTTAAAGATGCAACAATCAAAGACAAATTTTCAAAAATCCATGGCTGTCTTTGATCATGTTTTTTGGACTTCGGCGAAATCAAATAAATCGGTTCTGAGGTAATCGATAATGCAATACGAAGGTGCATTTTTCAATAAAGAAATATTTGATAAATCTTTTAACGTAGTTTTAGTGTCTTACTAAGTAAATCTAAAAAAAAACTATATTTTTCTAGTGCACCACCATTTTTATGATAAGAAATTACACAAGTATTTGGTTCAGTGGTTTAGGTAATTATTATCTAATAAAATCACCAACAATCAAATAAGTGATGCAGAAAATGAGAAACTTGAATTTTCGTAAAAAATTTAACTTCCAGAAAATATGAATTCCGATATTTTTCAAAATGACCACGAAAAGTAAAACTAGATCTTTCCACATATGTATCTGGATGAGTCACTAGGCGGTCCTCAATATCTCATTAACAATTATTATTATCTAGAGATCGAAAAAAAGACAGAGACTAAATTTTAGACGGTTCTTTCAGTAATATATAGTAAAATATTTTCAAATATGCATGAGTGTTTTGTTTTTGAAGCATAGCCCACAATTTTTTTTAATAGAACACCTGTATTATTTTTGAAATTCCGATACGAAGTTGCCATTTTTACGAGTATGTACCTTTTTAACAATGCACAAAAAATTCGTAATAACCATATTTTTAAGATTTGCAATATTTTATGGAGAAATAAACAAGGCACTTTGTTGTGGTACCAAATACATCAAATTTTAATATACAGAATGTTCATAAAAAAATCTAAAACGTTACAATTTTCACGCACCAATTTTTACCTAAGTTTTTTCCAAAAATAACACCCTGAATTTTATTACTGAATCTTAACTACTCTGTTTTTGTTCTCTTTTTTCCCACGTCGGTGTATCTTTCAAAAAAATTAAAATCCCAATAATGCAATAAAGAAAACAAAAAACAAAGTAAGATGGAGTAGTAAAATGCAAGATGTTTTATTGGAAAAAACGAAATTTCGAATTTTGAAAATTGTAATATGTAAATACAATTGTTTAGAAACACTCCGTATATTAAGACACGCTTTTATTTATAACCACAACAAAACGGATAGCTTTATTTATCTCTTCGCAAAATATTGTAACATAGATTTTGAAAAATAACCCTATTGCGAGTTTTTTTTGGTTCCAATTACAAAATTATTGATTTCGAAAGTAGTAAAAATGGTTGAAATTTCAAAAATCCTTAAAAAATTCTAGAAAATTCAGAAATTCCGAAAGTGCTAAAATTCTAGATACTTTAAAATTTAAAAAATGCAGAAGTTCTGAAGATGTCAAAAATTCTGCTTTTAAAATTTCAAACTGTCTATTCAATCATAGAAATTTGAAAATTCATAAAAGGGCATTAATAGTTAAACATCTGAAGTTAAGTCCTAAAAATTACAATTATTTCGACAATTCCAAAAATTCGATTAACAAAAAAATTCTAAAAAACTGCAAAAATATAGAAAGAATGGAAATTCGAAAACTATAGAATTGAAAAATAGTAAAAATGCTTGAAATTTTAAATATTTGTAAAAAATCCTAGAAAATTCTTAACTTACAGATATGTTAAAAATCTAGAAACTTTAAAATTCCAAAAATCCAGACGTTCTAAAGGTGACAATTCTAACAATTTTGAAATTTCAAAACAGTTTTTTTTTATAATAGAATTTTGAAAACTTCAAAAGGGTCGTAAATAGTTAAACACTTGTAAGTCTAGAAATTCCAAAAATTCCATAAACTAGAAATTTCTAAGAAAATTTAAAGATTCTATAAATTTTAGATACTTCATGTCGTAAATTAGAGAAAAGTTTAATAATACTCTCAGAAATTCCAACGCGATCTAAGTAATTCCAAAAATTGCAAAATTTACAACAATTCCATAACTCAAAAATAATAAAAAAATAAAATGTACATTCGAAAACTCCATGGATTCCAAAAATCGTAAAAATGCTTGAAATTTTGAAAAAATCATCCAATTCCATTGTAAAAAAGATTTAAAAATATGGAATAATGTAGTAAGGTCGCATCAGAATTTGAAAAATAAACTGTACCTAATTATGACCTTAAGAAGAGGTCAATCAAAATATGTAAAAATATGTAGGGCTACTTGAAAAAAATAAGTTGTGTTACGCTTTAAACACAGAACACTCTGTATAGTTGAAAGCAATTTTAATGTATGGTCCTCAAAGAACTGGACAATTTTAAGTCTTAGATTTTTTTCTATTTTTAATAATAATTAATGAGGTATCGAGGAGCGCGTGCTTAGTATTTCACCTTGTACACGTAAACAGTGGCAGTCCACACTGTTTATTACCTTATTTCTTTTTATAAGCTGACGTTTTTCTAATTCAAACGACGATAATTGGTCCTGATCGAGATAAAGTTCATTTTGATAGGAATCCAATTTTTATACAACAGCTTATTAAAAAATACACGCTGTACAGACATTGGTATTTAAAGTAAATAGAAATTATCTCTAAAACGAAGTATTGCAGCTAAATTTATCAAAATATAGGTAGCAGTGAAAACTGTTAATGTTACAAAACAACAAAAAAAAAAGGAAGTACTTGATAGTAGGACTCTCATTTAAATCAAGCGCAAGCTTTTTTCTTAAAGCTTCTGTTTTAATAATTTCATAACGTACAGGTTATGAATGAACAATAAAAGCGCTCCCGTTTTAGCAGGCAAATTTCCCCTGCTTCTGAAATTCACACTAAAACATTTTAGATAAACAGTTTATGTGAATTTTGGTTTATTCTAAAAATAAATATTTTACGAGACTTGCAATATAAAAAAATAAACAAATGCGAGAAGATAAGATTAGATAAACGATAATAAATTTCAACTAAAATATAGCCGAAGTTCAACAATGTTCACGTTAGATCGATTAGTTGAATTTCAACAATTAATTAACAGCATTAAGTCCTCCAATCGACTGATCTTCAGTGCCTCTTAATCGCTTTGTCACACTGTCTGTAATTAAACAAGCAAAGCATACACAATCGTGTGTGGTCTAACGTGTGTACAGCCTTATGCGTAATTAAATTCAGAATTTACCCGACTTAGCTTAATTACGTCAAAGAATTTTAACAAGCTCTACCACCAGGGTCAAAAGTGAAACTCCCCAGACCAAACGCGATCGTTAGCAAGCGCATGCACATACAGGGTGTTCGAAGAAGAGAAAAAACATGCAAACATTCACCAGTGGGTACTCCGTGTGTCCGCGGTATTCACCAAAATCCTCGAATTTTCGAACAGATTTCGACTGAATTCAGCCGGAAGCAAAGGGCGGAGGGTGATCGATTTTCAACCCCTCGCCTCGCCCACCATAACCGATCAATTTCACACAACATTGCTCCAGTTTATACAAGCATATTTAAAACATTTCCAAGTTCTGGGCCCGCGCTAAGGTAAACATCTGAAGGCCTTTATGCACGACAATCGGAACGAAAATATGTCAAGGAAGCACTTAAACGTTCAATAGTAACCACTTTACCGCAATGGCAAATGCAATTTGGGATTTGCCGAGGTTTGCTAAGCGGATTAAATGACAATGTTGCGGATATTTGTCGGGAATTAGACGCTTATTTTGAAATTGTGTAAAGCTATTGAACCACCTGGCGAACTAGTGAACCGAGGAAATTAGAATTGGGAGGATCAATAGATCACATTTTTGGGGGGGTTTAGGTCTAAGGCGATTTGGCACGGCTAGAAAGTTACTCTTACGAGTTTACTGAATAAATCTTAAACAAATATTTGAAGCTGGGACGATTTTAGACGCAGGATATTTTTGAAACGATTCAGATTTTAAAGTTTCGAGGTTTAGTCTGTTTAAACCAGATATGCAATACTTTGGAGAGTTGTGATATCTAGAACAGGTTATGACATGACTTCTGTTATCAAATACTGAGGTTTTTTTTTTAACAGCAATATCAATTTTAGATCTATGATTTCATCGTTATCATTTCTTTTTAAGTGTGTGATATTTAAAAAAAAATGTATCAATATTCGAAAGTTCATTCAAACGACTTCACTCTTTAATTTCGCTAATCATAAGCACAAACGACACAGAACAGTAGTGGATTTTTTCACTCATTTTTGTTTTACCGGGAACATAATTTTAAAAGTAGGTCAATTTTTTGAAAAAAAAATTAAAACTATGGTCAGTGTATTAAAGCAAGCTAAGATTTGCGATTTGAACCTTCCAAAAATATATTTTGTTAAATAGAATCAAAATAAACATTGCTGAAGTGATTTTAAGAATGAAGAGTAAAGTAAATCAAAAAAAAAATCGAACTCTATATTCTTCTGAATACAATTCTGAAATCTACATAAATTTCAAAAAGTCAAGTGTCATCTGTCACAGATTGAGGAGGATCATCACCGGGAAGGTTGTCCGAGCTTTGCTGTGTTAAATGACTCTCATGGAATTTTGGTACTATACAAAAGTAGTGTGCGATGATGATACAAGCTATTCGTGAAACATATTTTGACGTGTGTATAGTGATACAATATTTATTGATTGAAAAAATTAGTTTGATTCAAAGATTCCCACACCATGCGTCATAAACAGGATCTAATCTCGAAAAGGATTCTTACACTGAGAAAACCATTCACTATTCAATTCAAATATTTAACAAAGTTTTGTTAGCAATACGATCATTATAGACAACAACATGAAAGTATTTTGTATAGAAATGAAAAATTTACTTATCAGGAAAGTATACTTTGAATTCAGTTTTGTATTGTAGCACGTATGCTGGACATAATGTTTAAGTTGTTCCAACACTGTTCGAATCCTGTTTTTGCATTATGAATGGTGTTTAAAATATATACAAGAATTTTCCGTCTTATTGACCAGCACGTGAATATATCTACATCTGTTCAACTGCATGCTCGTACATTTAAAACGATGAAGCAACTTGACTCTGAACTAGTCTCTCAGTCTGTGAAAATAAAATAAACTATAATAACTATTGTATTTAAAACCACAAGAACCGAAAATTAGCCATAACCTTGACATAGAATTTTGTTTGGTTCCATGTTTAGCATCATGTTACCACATTTAAATTCTGGGTACACTCGTCTACATGACAATGAAACGACTGCATCGAATTAAACGATCAAACCACCTCAGCAATCTTTTTTTTTCCATGAACAAGTTCCATTACATGTAACACGTTACATAAACCTAATGAATTTTCTTTGGCCTTGAAATAAAACATCACAAACAGGTTAGCGTCCATGTCATCCAATTCCCACAATCTCTAAATCCCATGTCCTGTAATTGGACGCTTCACATCTTGTAGCCATCAATATGGCGCAGTGTCATAATCTAATTAGTAAATCTCCGCATGACACCTTCAAAAATTCCTAGAACTGACGGAAACGCGGCGCTTCGATTTTGTCTCCTTCTCAGTACCCTACAAGTACTGCACTTCAATTAGTTACGTGAAAAAAAGACCATTCTTCGACAATATCGAAGTATGCGGGCATAGAAACAATGGAACATCGTCCTGCGACATCGCTAATTAGCATCATGGCACCCCTTGATCACAAATTCCCACGCGCCGAAGGTCATGCCGAAACAAAAGTCTCATTACGCAGTCACTTTTGGTTTCGTTGCCGTCATTTTACTTATTTATTTACGTTTTTTCTTTAATTAGATTGCTTCACGCATCGTCACAAAATGGCGGCGGATATACTGTGCAACTAATTGTTGCCAAGATAACGGCCCAGAACGGATGTTGCCAACAGACCAGAAGAAAAAGAGGAGTTGCAACATCGCCGAGTTTTGTGTGCAACACGCAGAAAACTGTGAAACAATACAGCGCACACTCTTGTGATTGGTTAACCAAAGGAACAAACTTAAATTAAGTAAGAAACAAAAAAGTAGGAAAAAGTGGACGTGTGCGTGCGAGCACACCAAAAATATTTCATGACGTGTCCCAAAAGCTTGCTCCAAAAACCGCGGCGAAAAATAACCAAAAGAAAATCGTTAGTAAGGAAATTAAAAAATTAATGAAAATTATTAAAAAGTTAATGAAAATGCTGCAACGGTTCAGTAAAAATTACGGCTGAGCGGTTCAGAGAGAGGCTATATACTGTAATACAGTCTGGTTGTACTTTGCTCCAACATTTCTTTTTGTCTTGTACACATCTCACTACTGTTATCTAATTAGCAGTTAAAATACAAAAATCAAAAATCTTACAACAGTGGCTATTTCATGTTTAACGTCCAGAACAACCAGATTTTCAGAAACTGTACAACTGAGACCAATAAAAGGCATTTTCCAGGTGGCAAAACATCACCGTCGTATTTTACAACAATAAAACGCAGTGATGGTATTTTATCACCGGTCATAAAACATCATCAGTGTAAATTTCAAGTGATAAGACTTCATGATGGTGCATTCAGGTGATATAAATGAACTACTGTGACTGTTATTTTACAAATTATGTGATTCGTGAAATATTTTCAGCATTTTGACAGATGCTTAAAACCAATCAAACTGCCTCTGTCAAAAACGACTGTGAGTTTGTCACTGATTAAATCCCTAGATCTTGTGATATTACATAGATAAAACTTTACAACTAGAAGCTATCATTAAATCTCAGTTGACAACATGACGAAAAATGCTTGAAATATTGAAACGGCAAACTGTGACATTCTGGCATAGTCTTCGTATTGATTTTTTTTAATTAATAGCCATTTTACTTATACACGTTTTATGTTAAGGCCGTTGCTACGCTAAAACGAACAAGAATTAGTGCCGATAGATCCTTCATAAGAACCAACGGTAAAAAACAACTTATAGGGATTACGGAAAAAACTAATTGCTGCTTTATTTTGCCTTATTTGTCAAATATGTTCAAGGAATTTGAAAGACAAAAGATAAATTCGTGCTTCTATAGTTTCACTTTTCTAATAGTAGTCAATAAATTGCTGAAAATATTCCTTTAATAAGGCATGTTATAAAATACAGTAATCAATTCCTATGAAGCTTCAGCTTTCTTGTTCATCAGCTTACCAACAACCTCAACTTCGTCATTATAAACTTCCGGTTGCCCCCAAACAACTACGCCATCTAATAAACCTAATCCAAATTATTACGACAACGTTGTTTAAGAGCAACCCCAACATATCAATCTTTATCTGAAATTCCCGTCACAAAACCTCATTTCCAATTTTTACTGAACCAGTAAAAGTTTAACTAAAACACAAACAGAAACCAAAATAAAGCCCCAAACCAAAACGAGAAAGTAAAACAAAAGCAAAAAACGAATGTGTGATTATTTCATGTTTTCGAACAATGTAGACCAACATACAGCGGCTGCACAAATTGATCGCATCGTTTTCAATTACTGAACTGAAAGGGAATATGAGTCCATCCACCGCGTCAAAATGTGACAGCTCCGCGTACATCTGTCTATACAGTGTTCTTGTTTTATTTTGGAACGTTTATACGAATGGAAACAAACCGGTTGCAGCTTAACCTCTTCAAGGGCTACACTTGTAAGCATCTTGGCATGTAATGTTTCAAATTAATGGAAAAATGCGGGCTGCGAGAAGGCTGATATTGCTTTGATGTTGTGTACAAGTGCTCATAAAACTCAGGCTTTTATCAAGGCTGCGTCCAGCGAAAATACAAAATTTGCATCGAAGTGTGTAATGAATTTTACAAAATCATCTACGAAACTAAAGGAGTGTTACTTTTATACTTTTATATAAACTGTTTCTAGTTCTTTTTTAGGCACTCCAATTTTCGATGAATATTAGCCTTCAAGCAGATTTTATATGCTCCATTTATGACATAAATAATAACAACGTTGCTGATAAAACTTAGTAACAAAGAAACGGCATTTGCTTCAAAAATATAGTGACTAAAGTTTTGCAAATTAAGTGTAGACCAAGTTTTATCTGCGACTTTACTTATGTACACTTTTTTTTGCCACTATGCCCATCGGTTTTAGGTTATATACCGCAACCGGTCCATCCGCCCATGTAAACGCGCCCTTAGCCTCGTGTGCTGCTGCGTGTGGATTTAGTGTTGTGTCTTACCGGCGCTGGTTCTCGACTTGTTGCGTGGTTTGTTGGGCGATTGCGCGCCCTGTCCAGCCGCCCCCAGGTGCTGTTTGTTCTGGGGCGAGTACGCGGCCCCGTGAATACCGTGGCCATACGCAGACCCGTACGAGCTTTCAAAGTTACCATTAAACATGCCGGCTGTGCCCCCTTCATAGTCACTACCTTCGCGCTGTTTGTTGTTCGCCGTCGAGCCGACGGCCGAAGGCTTGACGTCGAGGGCGCAGCTCTGGGGGTTGTCGGAGGAGGCGGCACCGCCGTGCATGAAAGCGCCCATCGCCGCCGCCACGTACTCGGCGCCGGCCGTCGGTGCCACGCTGTCCGGCGTGCTGTCCTTCGGCGGCGTCGGCGGGAACGAGAAGATGTTGTGCGGCTGGCCGGGGGCGGAACTCGGCGACTGCGATTTGTCGGGATCGCCGCCGCCGAACGGCACCCAGCCCGAGTGGCCGAGGGGCTTCGTGCCGTCCGACAGCCACGGGTGGAGGGGGGCGTGGAAGTGCGACCTGCACACCTGGCCGGAGGACATCCTCGACGCTGAAACTGCAACAAAAACGCACGTGTAAGGGGTACTTTAAATACACAATACACAAGTGGTATTTATATAAGTGGTTGTAAAGATTTTTGCTTGTTCTACATATACGTGGGATAACTAAAACATAATCAACAAGATAAAAGTGTAGATATAACTAATACAAAGAGTAGAAGAAAGTAACACTTAAGATTAAATGAAATAAAAGTGTTGATAAATTTTTCATATATATAGTTGAGAAAATAAAATTTCAAAATTTTTGTGTGTCAGCAACAACTTTGTGAAATATTCTTGCTTTAAACCCCATTGGGGAAGCTAAAGTACAAAATAATGATAAAATCAAATGAGAAATTAATGGCCCGTGTTTCTGCTGCAACCTGCTTATTGTTGAGTTTACATCTTTCAAAACGACATTGTTTTGAAAGCAATGGTTTGCTCTACATAGCAACAGCAAAAATGTAGCAATTTTCGCCTAACATACCTACTTATACTTAAAATTCCTTTATTCAAAATAAGGATGCGCTAACGCATGATTGGAATAAATTTAATATAAACGGTTTCATAAATTAAGAATATGGAAGGGCGGACCTGTAAAACTGAGCAAACAGACTGGGTAAACATTGTCATAAATGCTTTTACGGTACATTAACACTTTTATTCGCCGATCTAGAAGTATTAAACTTTTATGGCTTCAGGTACCCACTCCCATTTCAGTTTCCGCATTTTTTCAGTTTAATCAAAACTTATAGATAAATCGATCTATTTAAATATCTGTCCATAATTGAACTTTTACATGTAATAAATTACAATTGGAAAGTCTCCTACACTAATTTATGCAAATATTTGCGGTATATTAATAGTAATAATTACCGTAATTTCAACCGCCGCGGCCACGCGTCCTTCATATTAGACAACAACTTCATTTGCCAAATAATTAAGTTAAATGTCCCATTCATTGACATTATCTTTGATCTACATATCTCTTATCATAATTCATATCTTTTGCAATAATTGTGACGTTTTATATCCGTTGTTTCACATATTATTGTAGTTAATTTGTTTCGATTGTCCATTTTTAACTTTATCACTTACTTGGAGTGTAGAGATTTATTGCTCGAGTACCACGACACTTAAACCAAAAATGTGTCTTTTCATAAAATGATTCAGCGCAAAATTCAAGCCGCGAAAAAACTTTCCTACAGTGCCTACAAACTTGTTTCAGGATCTCGTTACTGTTTCAGTAAAAGCCTCGTAAAACCTTCCGAAAGCTCGTATAGTATGAGGAGCTTACAGATGTTGGGAATAAAATGATGGTTTACTATTGTAATTTATTCTCCTCACAGAACAGTTCCGCGTTCTTTGAATCGAAACTATCAGAACTTGTAGGGCCAGAATAAAAATATGCTTATGCACCTGAACCACTAAGTGACTGATCGTTCAAAACAAGTCGCCATTGTACCCGGCAATATTGCGACACAAGCCATAAACATAATTTATTGGCAGCCACTGGTTAAAGTTGGAGCAATAGTATCCACCTAAAAATAAGAAATGGAGTCCTAGGCTGAGTGGCCTCGAGTTTCGAAGTTTCCCGGAATTCATAAAAAAAATTATAAATAATCACCTCACGTGCTTTGTACATCCACAAAAATGTGTTAAATTATTATAAAAGCTTTATTGAACGAAATTTCATTGAACAATTGACAAATCGAACTAGTGTGTATGAATGAAACATAAATGAAAAATTATCCGAAATGGACTTCCCCCACACTTGTGACCTTAATATGTTTGTGTAAACGAAAATGTCCCTCGAGTGATTAATCAGCAAAAACAAAAATACCCATCCCCATCTCCATTAAACCCAAATACCTCCCGCCTAAACCATTCCCTAAATTAGACCTCCTCCACATTCATATTTTCCACTTAACAGCTCCGCATCGCCACATCCAATAAATTCCGCGATTTAACAGCCAAATTTCGGCATCGATCGCCTCTAACATCCACAGTTTAATTAACTAAATAACCATCCACATCATCGTCGATCCCACGATCGTCGATTTTATTTCGGCGCACACACAGCATGCATAAAAAAGCTCGAGCTTTCGTTGGCCATCTGCGGAAGTCCGTTAGGATCCCTGCGCTAATCTCGTCGCTATCAGCGATGGGATCGCGAGATAATCCGGCCACGGCAGCCATTGTGGCCGCCCTTCAACATGGCCGCCGGCAGGTGAGGGGTTAAATCCACCCTATATACATACGAGCTTCCCGGTGTGAGAGCTTGAAGAGGAGGGACCCTAACACAGATGTGACTGAAAGCACATGCGGGTCCGTTGTGCGCTGCTTTCGCCGAATTTTAGTCAGCGAAAATGGGCAGAAAATGGGGAGGTTGCGACCCTTCAAAAAACACACGCTGGAAAGTAAGCCATTTGTTATGGGTTTTGTGGAAGCACCGGAGAAACGATATTTACTAAGTAAGAAAAATGATTAAATGTGGTATTGTGGTATATTGTGTCGATTCATGCGACAGGCACACAGACAGAGGAAAAAATGATCACCACTGAAGATAAAAGATGGTGTTTAGAGTTGATGTGTCAAGGAGACAGGGTTGCTCAAACACAGATCAGATATATAGATACCTATAGTTTTGTTGAGTTAGCACAAAAAATATTTGGTTCCCATAGACTACTAGCATTTCTACTTAATAAAGTTTACTACATGATATTAAGCTCATTTTGTTTTTGGAAAATGTAGGGTGCTTTTGGATTTGGTGTTTAACATTTTCAAATTCTTGATACTGATAATTTTCATCACTGACGTCATTATTGTGAGCTGCTTCCATTTTGCTACTTGAAACCTATCAGTCAGACAGTTTTAATTTTTTCATTCACACTAATCATGGAAAATTGTTTTATCCTTGTGAAAATAATAATAGTTTGTTCTATTCGTTTAATCTTAGAGAGCCATCGTTTCAAAAAAACTTAATTTACTTTTAAAACAACTAATTCAACTAATCTAGTTTACGACTGAATAGAAAACCAAAACAGGATTCTAGTTGTCAAGGATTGTACCTAGAAAATCAATCAGGCTTTCAATTAGAGACTAAAGCTTCGTCGGTAATTACAATATTGCAGCACCGTAAAATCTAATTTTAATGGCAAGTTGATTACTTTTGAAAAGTATAATAAACAATATTAAAGCAGTTATTGCCGCCGTGCTGCCGCCCCTGACTTTAATATGTAACGACTATTCAAAAAAGAAGGTTTCGTAATCAAATTTTACACTTTATTTAAATATTACAAACTGACCTCTTTAAAATTCTGGTGATACATTAGCATTAATTTAATTATTGTAGAACTTTAACTAATTTATTCACTCCAAAAAGTTGATGACGTTATCTGGAAAAATTATCTACAATATATTGATTGGAACATACGAGATATACGACATTGCTTGGGTTTAATAATATGCTTTGATTTTTTAGAACTGGTTATACAGCATGTCCCAAAAAAAGTTAATGATGGGGCGACTTATATTTTATCGATTATCGCACATTATATTATGATTAGTGTTACATTGTACATAATTAAAGTACAACAAATTATATATCGACAGAAAATCATCGACTCGATGGCAAAAATCATCTCAATAGATCCCTTTTCATTTTGTATTGTCGTGTTAAAACATATTTTGGAAAGTTTTTGTTAAACATATTTCAGTTTGGTGGCCTTTGAGCATCGTAAGCTCACGTTCGGATAGAATATGTTTTTAAATCTTTTTGTAAAGATAGCAATCAAAATAATTTTAAGCACTCTAAATTTTGAAATCATTAAGATTCTTGTTATCAGTATAGAACGATAGAACGCTTGACAGTGTACAATGAATTTTATTTTTTTACAAGTATCATTTTATTATTATCATCTCTTATATCGTTATGTCTGCTTTATTTATTTATTGTTTATTTTCAAACAGACAATAAAGTAAGAGACTCTTGAAAAAACTGAAAATGAATTTTCCAATTTATCTGATCCTCTTGATTTGACTAAATTTTCTTCGTCGGCTTAAAAATTCATCTCAGGAATTTGAACTCGTTAAACCTGAGCGAATCAAAGCCGCAAGTAAACTGTAAATCAGAAAGCCACAACTGTTCAGGTTGTTGCTACGATAAAAACCGACTTGTGTAAAATTAAAAAAACCTTTTTTAAAAGTGCTACAAAATAAAAATTTTCATAAAAGCAGCGTAGATTTTCATTTAGCAAAAAGAAAAGCACGATCGCAAGTACGGTGATTACTTATTGTGAGCGTATTTTCCCTAATTTCCGTGAACAAACCACTGTAACAAATTTAAGTATAGTATGTGGCGGCGATATTATATCGCATGCCGATTCCGTAAATGCACTTTATGATAGCTTGGTTAGCATAAAACAAGAAAGCTCCGCTGTTTTCGTTCGCCGTGCTATATGATTTGAAGCACATGTTGCTCAAAATAATGCCACAGTTTATATTCAAATGAAATTATAGAGACTGGTCGAGATGTCTGTCGCCACGGGGTGGAATCAAGATAATGACCCGATCGCAACAAAACGCGTTTTTTAATGACATTTAAGCTAATTATACGGCAGCGCCAACAAAGGATTATTAAATAAATAATGCAAATGTGTCCCAGTTCTTTATTGCCAATAATACGCTTATAATAATAGATTTTCAGTAATGTGAGCACCATAGCGTACAGGAAGGAAGTCCAAGATACGATCTGATCAGATCAAAAGCGGAATGTGTGGAAACAAATGAAAACAAAACATATGATTGCTAAATAAAGACTCTCGTATTATAATCCAGGCACTATTAATATTCGGTCCCAATTACAACGAAAAAACAATTAAATTCGTTACGCGCTTTATAATTATAATTAAAAGCAGTTTTTTCCGTCACGAAATTTTGTTAATTTGTTGTTTTATGGTTTTGTGCATTTTTGGTTCAAGTTCCGCTACTCTAAAAGGTGTGAAAAATCGATAAC